CTGTTTCCGGGTTCCAAAATTCAGAAATGAAATGATTTCATTTCTGTTTTCAAAATGATGTTTAAATCCAAAAATGACCCCTAGATGATTGCAAGTTAATTTTCTTTGAAAATGTTAACCATTTTCCCTTAATTAAATCACACGAAATAGTATAAAATTAGAAGTCTACTGCTAGGTCACCACTTAAGGACACTTAAGACAGGAGTTATATCCTTAATTATGCATCTGTAAGCAAGCCAGAAACCCCCAAACCTTCAAATTTTCAGGACAGTTATCTGTGAGGAGGCTTGGTCTCCATGATCTCATGTGAATTTTATGAACTAAAATTCCATCCCAGAGACAATTGATTTTTCAAATGTTTCTATAGTGCATATATAGCTTTGTGTCCGCTTGTAATGCTAGTCAAGTCTACCAAAGTGCAAAGACTGCAGCTGGTGGGGCAGAGGGATGTACCAAATATTTTTTAAACATCCTAACTTAAACAGGGGCAGAACATCTAACACATTCAGCAATAATTTTCAGATTCCTTTCAACAAATGCAAAAAAGGAAAAAACATAAGTAAAAAAAGAGCATACTACCTCCATAACGTTTTAAAAAATCATTTTAACATATAGGAACATCCAGAATGAGAAAATTACACAGGTCCTCCTCCATCTAAAGCCAACTTCCATATGCCAGTAGTCTGCATGAACAAACTTTCAACCTGCATTTAAGACCCCAAGGATTAACAGGCATTAATTATCTTACTCTAAATGCAAGTTAGTGATTTTGTTTTAGAAAACCCCGTCTAGATCACTAATTGACGGATGCCCATTAATACACCTGTATTTGCATTTCAGTGGTAAAAAGACAAGCAGGGTTTTCAGCACAGAAGAGAACCGCTTTGCCAAGTCTTTTCAAAATGTCAATATGCTTCAAGTAGTACCACAGCTGAGATATTCCTCTTGATTTCCAAACTGTCTAGGTGGCCTGGGTGGTTTTCTGCCGGCAGCAGCCTCCTACCTTTAGTTTGTGTGCCTATATCCATGAGGGGGGATTAATTAGCCGGGTTGGAGCTGAAGGAGGCTGTCGTGACGAGCCCAGTGGCGATTGGCCGCCCGCCTGCCTGGCCCTGCCTTTATAATTTCCACACGAGTGCATCTGGGCTCTTAGACAAATCAACAGCAGCTTCTTCTGACATATACACACGCACACTCACCCCGGACACACTCTCAGCACACTTTTCCTCCATTTGATTAACAGTGCTGCACATACAATGATTACGGGAAAGCGTAAATAAATACGGAAAGGGGTGCTTATTTTGACTACTGGAAGAGCTTTGCCGGGTCTCAGCGCAACTTTTTTTTTTATTCCTGAGAAGGTGATCTCTCCATGCGGTTCTCTCACACAAGGATTCTTTAAAAGAGGAAGAGAGGCAAGGAGAGGGGGGAGAACAGTCTTTCACTTTAAGAACGGCTGGGCTCAAAGATAAAAGGAAGGGAAAAGCAGCAGCAGCAGCAGGGAAACCAACGCTGCAGCACTTCCGAGAGGCATTTTTGATCCATTTCTGAGCGCTGCGGCCCGTTTCTCCACCGAAGTTGGCTCCAGCTCTAGCAGCCGCATTGGATCCCACAGCTTACTGCGAGACTCCGGTGTACAATCCGGATCTCTGCCCCAACATGATTGCGGCCCAGGCCAAGCTTGTCTACCATCTGAATAAATACTACAACGAAAAATGCCAAGCCAGGAAAGCTGCCATTGCCAAAACTATCCGGGAAGTCTGCAAAGTCGTTTCCGACGTACTGAAGGAAGTGGAAGTGCAGGAGCCGCGGTTCATCAGCTCTCTCAACGAGATGGACAATCGCTACGAGGGCCTCGAGGTCATCTCCCCCACCGAATTTGAAGTGGTGCTTTATCTCAACCAAATGGGGGTGTTCAACTTCGTGGACGATGGCTCACTGCCCGGCTGCGCGGTGCTGAAGTTGAGCGACGGGCGCAAGAGAAGCATGTCCCTCTGGGTGGAATTCATTACCGCCTCCGGCTACCTCTCGGCGCGCAAAATCCGGTCCAGGTTTCAGACGCTGGTGGCTCAAGCGGTAGACAAATGTAGCTACAGGGATGTGGTAAAGATGGTGGCAGACACCAGCGAAGTGAAACTGAGAATCCGAGACAGGTACGTGGTGCAGATCACGCCGGCTTTTAAATGCACCGGGATCTGGCCGAGGAGTGCTGCCCACTGGCCACTTCCCCACATCCCCTGGCCGGGACCCAACCGGGTGGCGGAGGTCAAGGCGGAAGGTTTCAATCTCTTGTCCAAGGAGTGCCACTCCCTGGCCGGCAAGCAGAGCTCGGCGGAGAGCGACGCCTGGGTGCTGCAGTTCGCGGAGGCAGAGAACAGACTGCAGATGGGGGGCTGCAGAAAGAAGTGCCTCTCCATCCTCAAAACCTTAAGGGATCGTCACCTTGAACTGCCTGGCCAGCCCTTGAACAATTACCACATGAAGACTCTGGTTTCCTACGAGTGTGAAAAGCATCCCCGGGAGTCGGACTGGGACGAGTCTTGCCTGGGTGATCGGCTGAACGGGATTTTGCTGCAACTTATCTCCTGCCTGCAGTGCCGGCGGTGTCCCCACTACTTTCTACCGAACTTAGATCTGTTTCAAGGCAAACCTCACTCAGCTCTGGAAAACGCTGCCAAACAAACGTGGCGACTGGCAAGAGAGATCCTGACCAACCCGAAAAGTTTGGAAAAACTTTAGAGGATGAGTTAATCAAGAGCCGAAACTATTACCCTTCTCAAAGTCCTTATTAAGTGTAAACTTCTGTTCAATTCCTAATATTCCACTCCGCAGTGTAAACAATCTCTTCCTTTAAAAAAGGAATAATAATACAATATTTAGAAATCATCTCACCCACCCCCACAAGGGGAGAAAAAGTAGGGGAAGCGGATGGAGAAAAACCCAAAGCCACTAGTATTAGAAGACTTCTTGATTTCCTATCTCCCTTGAAAAGTACACCGTAACACTCCGTAAACAGCCCGGTTGTAATACAAGACAGCGACGAACACTCCGCCTAACTATCAAAGGATTATAGCAATCCCGGTGATTTAGGTGCATCTGCCTGTGAGTAAACACGATTTGGATATGCCATCTGAAAGAAACTGTAATGTATATTTTGATTTGTAACAAATATTGTGATCTCACATTGTCTTTGAAAGTGTGGATGTTGGTGTTTGTGATTTGGTGAACAGAACTTAAATTGCCATTCTCGATACTTCCAGACATTTTCCACTAACAAAGTTATCATTTAAAGGTAGATTTCCTCCTGGTACTTTCCTCTGTCTTTGAAAGTGTCTGAACTTTAAAAAGTTTACATTTTGTTTCAAATATTGCTTGTTCTATTTCTAACATTCCATAAATATACTTGAAATGTTATTTAAATATATTCAAAGAAATTTGAATTCAGCTTATATAATAACGCTTGAATATCTGAATTATATATTTGAAAAATGCACTTGAAATACACTGGATAATTACTTTTGTGATTTAGATTTTAATTTGTTGCTGGTTTTTATTTAATTAGATGCTAATAAATGAAGTAAAATAAAAGTTGTCGTGTCTCGCTTTAAATTGTTTCCTATCAAAAGATGTAATGCTGCATTTTGAAAATTAAACCCACTTGAATATCTTAAACATTTTGAGAAATGTGCTAATGAAATCCTTAAAAATAAAACATTGGAGAAAAGCTCTTTCTGTATAGGTATATAAGATAACGATCTACTCTCAGTCTCTAACTTACTTGTAAGACAATTCCTTTCTACAACAGACACAATTTAAATCTACCTTTGAAAGCTTGCTCTTCTTGTAGCATTTTTGATAATATAAGAAAAAAGTCTATCATGACAGTAGAGATGACTGACTTATTTTAAGAACTGCATTTGGAGCTGGAAGTAAAAGAAGTCCCATGACTATCCTTTGGAATAGTTTAGTAGTCAACAAGTGCTGAAAATGCTGATCACCTATGGGACTTAAGTTAGTTAATTCAGGTGATGGTAAATTTTTGGATTTTAGCTCTAGTTTACCAATACTATTTTATTACATTTTATATCAATATCTAAATTAAAAACAATAAAGTTCTGGATCTGTGGGAGCATTTGTCTTTGACTATTTTAGAATAACTGCCTCTGAAAATAAAGGAAGTTTTTTTGCAAAATGATGCTAGAATTTCTAGCGTGACACTTCATGCTCTTGAATTCTTAACCCCAGAATAGAAGTTTGCAAATTGCACAGTAACATGAAAGTTAAAACATTAAAATAGATCTCAGAAAGTGCTGAGAAACAGCTACTCTAATACTCTGGTGTTTAAAATCTACACAATAACATTTAATAAGTATGCATTTAAATGGTCCAAATATGTATTTTCTGGCATTATACTCAAAGAAGAATACAATATTTAAACATCTGAGTTCTAGCATATATATTTTAAATCAAAGCTCAGAGAATCAGTTGCTTTCCTCTTAAATCCACATATAAAACCCATTCTTATTTCAGGAGATGGACAACATGGGTGTACTAACGGAGATGAATTTATATCTAAATGGCTCTCCCCCCCGTTTCCTTATAACTTTTCAATAATCACATTTCAATCTAAAGTTTTGAAAATTAAAAGTGATCTTAATAAGAAATTTCTTAAGACCTTTCGTAGTCAGCCCTCAGAGCCTGAGATTCTGGGCCCCAGGGACTTGGGAGCAATTGGCTTAACTACCAAATCTGCCCAAGCGCAAACAAAGGCACTCACAGAAAGACTGTTAAAATGTTCATGCTCTGGTAATACAGGATTTAACTTCATTAATATATTCTTCAGTTCCATAAAGTGAACATGCTATTTCATTCATTTTATTTTCTATGAGAAAGAAGAGAATGTGCTCCCCTCTTCCACTGTCAGGTAAAATCAAACAAAATTGAAAACCACTTCCTGCCACAAAGCCACCAGTACCGTACATGGAATCGCTTTAACTCACTTTAGTGTCGATCTTCTTGAAGGCGGAATCATCCTCATCTACCTCGAAGTAGATTTCTGTCGTGGTGATGGAGAGAGTCCCCTTGGCCACCACCACGGGAGCGATGAGCTGGGCAGGGGTGCTGAGAACCACTGGGCCTGCAAGGCAAGGATAAGGGGAGTCAGGCTGATCCCCTGTGGCCCTTCCTGCTCCCTCCCAGAAGGGTACCAGAGGTTTTTATTGGTAAGTATGCACTAGAAAAAAATGGTTCCTGTATTATGCGGCAAACTCTTTTTTCATGTAAGATAAGGACTACTTAGCTTTTATTCATTACCTTATAACAAGACTAGAGAGAAAAAATGGTATGAAAACCCAGAAGGTCAGGATACCGAATACCGCTCAATTTCCACCTAGAAATCCTACATGGTTGGTGACGGGCTGCCATTAACCTACTTAAAAGTGCAGAACGGAAAAATGTCCCAATTCTCCACTGAGTATCACTGGCTTTTCCAGAGACCCTAGGCAGTCAGCACTGCCCCCAAGACCAGCCATCGCGCGAAGCCGCTCCACTCAGCAGCGGCGCTCCCCAAGGAGAGGCGAGAGGACGAGAAGGGGGCAAGGATCTAAATGATAAATTCCGCTGTTGTGAGCGGTTTGCCTCTTGCAGGAAGATTAATCTAATATCTGTCTCCTAAGGCGCGCTACACACACACATACGCGTGCATACGGACATTACATAAAGTTCTTATGTAGAAAAGAACGAAAATCTTAGTCACTTTCTCACAGAGAATATATCAAAAGGGATGAAAACGTAAGACGCTTGAACAAAACGATTCTCAGAAAAACCGTGCGAACGTGCTACTTCTCAACTTTTGAAACTGCAGAAACAGCTTCACTAAAAGTGCCTGCCAGGGTGCCTGCTTCGAATTCCCTCAATCTGTTGAGGTTGAAAATCACGAATTACGCGTATAGAATATGAATTCAAATGGGATATTACCTAAATGTTTCCTGTAAAGTCTCCCCAAAGGGAGACATTCTTGGCAATCCTGGATTTGAAACACGATACAACGTTATACATAACGTGGGGATCGGATACAACCATTCATTTGTCGGTAGCAAGGGCGCATCATAATCCCTTCCACTTCTCCCCTCAAATGCATACAGTCAAGTGCGTCACAATAACAGTCGGGGAAAGGCAATAAAAAGTCAGGTTCTCTGCGGCCGCTAGGCCTCGGCCCTCCGGGCGGAGATCCCTCGCACCGACGCCGCCCTCAGCCCCCGCCCGGCCGGCCTCGGGAGATGCGGCCAAGTTGGCCGTCCCTGGCGCAGCACACACCCAGTCTGCGACCGTCCTGCACAAAGCCGAGCCTTCCCGAGGCTGCGGGAACACAGAGGGCTGGGCTGGCTTCTGTCGCGATTACAAGGGGGTGGCTAAGGAGCAAACTGTGACAGTGTCAGCTTTCAGCCTGTCGGGACTGCCTGGGCCAGACCCACGCACAGCCCTGTCTTTCATTTCACTGCTCTCGATCCTCCGATAAGCCCCCGGGGCTCGCGGACTCTGGGCTTCGGCCTCTGCCCAGCGGAGTCGGGGTCCACCTCGGTTGCACAAGGTTTTTCTTTGGAAAGGGAGAGGCAGTCGATCTGAAGCACCACTTTAAAGGCTCATCAATCTTAATCTAGGTTGCTCAAGTAATTACGCCCGAATCTCTTGTACGATTACAAGTGGATTTGGGTTTCTATTCCCCAGGCCCTCCTTTGTGTTTATTGGAGGGTCTGTGCGCGCGCTTGGCGGCGCCTCCTGCCTTCCGCGCCCTCCTCCGAATCCCCCAACGCTCGGGCCGGTTCGAACCGCTCCCTTAACCCTTAAGCAACCAGGACGCTCCCTTGGATGCCAGTTTTCCTATTTTCTCTCTGAAGAAATCTATGCGGTTTACTCTTGATTGGGGCAAGGTGAGAAAGGTGATTTGGTTCACACTGGAAACAAAGTTATACATCTTTAGGCATTGCTAAAAACCTCAAAAAAGTCTCCATTCTAAAGACAGAGGACTATCAAGATTTAAAAGAGGTTTCTGGGATTTGGAGACAAAAAATGGTCAAAAACACTAAAAATGGCGAATTACTTCTTTCTCCTAAAAAGTAATTTAACGTATCCAAATTGAGAACATGAGAAAAAAGATCGTGAAACATCAAAACCGTACCCATTGATTTACTGAAACACATTACAATTTTTAAGGACACGATCCGTGAACTTTCCATGGGGAGCACATCTTCTCTACTTACTCCTCTGCGTTTCTGAAAGGAGATGGCTTCCTTTAGATTTTACTCCAATATCGTTCTGTTGAGATTTTCCGGGCGTTTATAAAAGGGCTTCGAACTGGTCTTTCTTTAAGAAAGACACATCATGAAATATTCAGCATTAATAGTGTGTCATTTTTACCCTTGTCCTTTGGAAATCTCCAATTACAACTTCCAATTCCATAGCATGTTTAAGGAGCACTGAATCTTTTTGTTGTAGTCTTCTGGGAGCAAACCAGCCGCAGAGAGAATACGGAGTTAATCCACTACGGCAATAGAGAGAGGGGATTATGTTTTAATCCCCTTTGGGGGAGCCTTTGGATTTTAGGGATCCGATATTAAAATGTTTACACAAGGCACAATCATAAGCCAGCAGATCTTCCATATGGTACCTGGTTATTTGAAAACCTCGGATCCCTTTCCAAATAAAAATAGTTTATAAAGAACAGCATCTCTGAATGACGGTGAGATGGTGATCTAGCTGATCCTGTTCTAGAAGATAAGTAACTACAAATTTAACTTCCTAAACTTTGCTTGGTGTAGTGAGTTGAGGAATGACTGTAAATATATTCATCCCAATCACTACTGTAGCAATAAAACAATAAATTATAATGTCGTCAGCACACATAGAAGTATTGATATTAAATGTTAAACAAATGGATAAGACAAAACCTTTTCTTATTGCATTGATGCATATAATAATTTAAAATTCCACCATCTAAAGTGGTAATTAAAAGGAAAATATAAACGTTATTTACTTTTTATAACTGGCAATATAATGCTTAAAAAATACTGTTCCAATACTATTTTTGAAAGAAGGATAGGGGTATTACTTCCCATTTATCTAACCTAAAATGTGAACTAGAACAAAAACCACCCTAGCATAATGAATCTTTAAAATAATAACTTCTCTTTAGAGCCATAAGATCTTTAACCAGTTGAGATGGTAAACCTCATCATGGACCTAGAGTAGAAAGTACACATGTTTTATATTTAAAAAGAAACCATTTATCAAACACACTTTAAAAGTAGAATGTTAAATACTTGTGGGTTTAGATTATCCTGATAAAAATCAAAATTTCAAGCACAGAAATCTTAATAATACACTGACATTTTGGTAAAACTTTACAATTTACCGAATTCTTTTTTGTTTTTTGAGATGGAGTCTTGCTCTGTCGCCTAGGCTGGAGTTCAATGGCTCAATCTCTGGCTCACTGCAACTTCTGTCTCCCGAGCTCAAGCTATTCTCCTGCCTCAGCCTCCTGAGGAGCTGGGAGTATAGGCGCATGCCACTGTGCTCAGCTAATTTTTGTATTTTTAGTAGAGACAGGGTTTCACCATGTTGTCCAGGCTGGTCTTGAACTCCTGACCTCAGGTGATCTACCCGGCTTGGCCTCCCAAAGTCCCAGGATTACAGGCATGAGCCACTGTGCACGGCCACAAAACTCATTTGTATTTTTACAGAACTAATAGTCCAATATTCACAAATTTTAAGTTACTGGATGTGTCAATGCTTTCTTGCCAAAGACTACCAAGAACATATCTGTAGTTGAACAAGTGGGTTTTATTATTCATTGCAGTGAGAGAAACCGACAACAATAAGAACCATGGGGTGACTCAGGGGGTGTTAAAAGACTCATTGTAGGATCTGGATTTTACTTGTGATTTTGGGAAGGGTTCAGGAAAGCAGGGCTTTGCTCTGGATTGGGCTCTGTCAGGTATCAGAAATAATTCTATGATTAAGTATTTCAATCAATTTTATCTAGAGGGAGGGAAGACTAAATGTATGCTAAAGCTCGAATTCAAAAGATGTAGCAGTCACTCATATTAGCCAAAAGAGGGGAATGTCTGGTACTTTTGGGGTATGCACAGTGATCTTGCTTTTGTCTGTGTTTAGTCAAAATTATAAAGTTGTTTTTTGTCTCACATCATCATCATACAGCCCTGTATGAAGTTGGTGCTCTGTGAGGTTGTTTATGTCCAACAAGGGAACATCATGGCCTAGCAGTGAGCTCCAGGCCAGTTCTCAAAAAGAATGAGGCCTAGATATAGGCAGGCCAGTTCCCAGAGGTCAGAGGCTGCTTTTTCTTTTTCTCAACTGCAGGGATTAATCATTTTCGGGGGGGCGGGGGACGGGAGGGTAAATTAATCATTCTCAGGAGGGGGTAAAATACATTCTAGTGATTACAAGGCAACGATGGCTATTAAATTTCCTAATAACTATAAGCTTCTTTACAACTTTCAATGTAAAGCACAGCAAAGACTATGCATGGAAAAAGAGTTGCAGTTTAATTAAAACCAGAATTGCTAGAATTATTTGATGACTTTTAATTGGTAAACTATATTTAGGGTACATAAAATTATAACGTATTTTTAGAATCGCTTGAATATTTCCTAACCTTAGTTTAATATCGTTAAAAGTTGTATTAGCTATATGGATTTTCTTCATCCTCCATTACTTGGAAACTACATGCTCAATTTGCTTTTAGAACCTGTGAAACCTTGTTACTATGGGATAATAAAAAATTGACTAATATTAGTAGAATTATTAAACTTAAAATCCTGATGTTATTTAGAAGAACTAAAACTAATCTGAAATTCTTTATGTTCACTGTAAAATAATATTATTCCAAAGATATTAGGATAAAAATATAAGGAGGGAGTAAATTTTTATAATTATTTTTATAATGTGGTATACTTTCTAGGGAAGTAATTCATAGCATGAGTGACTGAACAAGATATCTATCACTGCTTTGGACTCTTTTTTTTTTTTGAGATGGAGTCTTGCTCTATCGCCCAGGCTGGAGTGCAGTGGCGTGATCTTGGCTCACTGCAACCTCCGTCTCCTGGTTTAAGTGATTCT